AGAGAATCTACCAGTCTTCAAATCACTGAAACTTTGACCCTACAATCACTGGTTTATGTTCAAGAGGAGGAGTGTAAAATCTGAGCAGCTGATGAACTGAAGCTGCTGCTCATTGTGTCTCGTCGTCGCTGTCAGTTATCCAGCATTGTGTCTCTCCTACATCGGATCAGATTTATAGTCGGTGCAGCACAAGGTTTCTTTGAGCTCTAGAAACAGTGACATTGTCGATCGACACAAACTGAGATTGACTGAGTCTGTGCTTCACCTTCTGGACTTACATTCATCACAGATCATCAAGATAGTTGTTATTCACTGTTTTGTGACTCTTCAGCACTTTTGATGATTAATAAAGTCTCCAGTTTGAATCTGTCAAAAGTCTCCTGTAAGAATCATTCAATAAAAATTTAATCTTTTGAATTTACCAAAGTAATTGCCTGTTTAAAGTTTCTTACCTGTGTCTTATAAATATGATATGATAATGTGCAACATTACACACTCAAGAACCAAATTTTTGTCAATGATGATGTTCAAACATTAAGGGCAGACAAATTTATTTTCAAAACTGATTCAATACAGAGAAACAAAAACATCACATGTTTGACTCTGTCTCATTTGCTACAATTCAAAATGCATACATTTATTTTCATTATACACCAAAATATTAAATAGATCACATTTATTTCAACGACTGACAATATAAATGTACAAGCAAACGTTTGAATGAAAACATTTGACAAAAATTACATTTGTTAGCTTTTGAATTTGACAATAAATACACAGTTAAAAATGAAGACAAAGACTCTTTGACTGTTTCTGGCTGTCAGTCTTTGTGTAACGTTTATTGTTCCCATAATGAACTGCACCGGTGGCTATTCTGCTGGGATATCTATGTGAACTTGAAGGGAAATGACTTTAGAAGTAAATGCTTAAAAATACTTCAAGATGTGTCTCAAATAAGTGAAGTTAGTACTAAATAATTTAACAGATAACATTTGAATTACAGATGTTGAATAATACAGACCACTTCTTTGTCCATGAAATGCATTGGTTACTCCTCAAGAGTTCTTTGAAACCCCTGATCCTCGGAGAAAGTCCATTCAGAGCATAAGGAGAGGCATATTATTGCTTGGAGAATGGCATATCAGTAGGCCTGAACAGTTATTGATAAACAAGTCCATTAACATGTCTGTCCGTCGAGTCCATCATTAGAGTTCGACTCCGGAGTTTATGAAGTCCGAACTCGATATTTGAGAGTCGAGAGGAATCACAATCTTTCGATCTGAAGAAGGAGAGTGTGATTTCTGTAGTGAGCTGTAGGATAATTCAGATGAACATGAAGGCGGGACTCTAGACTCTGATCCTGCTACAGTTGAGCAAAACACCAGCATTTGAGCACGATACAAAGACTGAGGAATAGAGAGAAAGACTTCACTATAAACAGACTTCAGCTGACTATCATACAGACACTTCAGACATGTTGATGTTCATATATTAACAAGCTCTTACTGATCCACCATTCTCTGAGCACTAAGGTCTAACGTGCCTTTTCCCTGTGCTGTGAAAGGATAAGTAGAAAAAAAATGGCATTAGATATAAAATATCAAACCACGTGGCATCTGCAAATAATTGACACTAGAGCTGTTTTTAAAACTTCACTTTTTCTGAGGCACTTTGTAAGATTTTGTAAATCAGTCGAGGACCACATTTTTCTCATGTTCACAGTTCTAGAAATCACAAGAGTTTAAGTCCGGCTCCGGAGAATAATAATGTCGGACTCAACACTAGAGACTCAGGAGGAGCCATAAACTTTCAACATTTCTGTAGTGAGCTGTAGGATAATTCAGATGAACATGAAGGCAGGACTCTAGACTCTGATCCTGCTACAGTTGAGCAAAACACCATGTGAAAGGATCATTAACATCCCAAAAAAAAAAAAAAATCAGTTTTTTGCTTTAGATATAAAATATCAATCCAAGTGGCATCTGCAAACAATTGACACTAGAGCTATTTCAAAATGCCACTTTTTCTGAGACACTTTTTCAGTTTTTAGTTAACCAGCTGAGAATCAGTGACAGGTCAGCGCGGCGTGAACACTGTAATACCGCGCTGTTTCATCCCACTTTTGGGTTGTTTGGCTTCCCATACGAGAAGGTTCTGGAGCGCCGCGGTTTATATGAGAGCGACAGCGCGCGCTGCGTTCAGCGACAGTACAACAGTCACACAAGCAGAGAGACGAGCCCAGCGCGACACAGCGAGCCGGCGTTTCCTCTTCCTTTATTCCTGTGAGTATTATCAAACTCATAACGTACACAAATACAATCACGAAGCTTTATTTGAAGGGTTCTCTCTAGAGCCATTCACTCATGTAACGGACAGTTTGAGTAGGCTATCACGTTAGCTTTCAAGTAATAACAGTCTGTTGTAGGCTAATTCAAGTGACCGCTTGTATTAACCTGCTCTAATATTGTTTCATGTAACATATGTATGTTTAGTGGCATTATTAAACACTGTATTAAGCTTTAATATGTCTTTTAACTGTCATAGGCATATTGTGGTAGTAGGCAGGACTGCTGATATGTTGTGTTCCTGTACACTGTAGCTGATTCCTGTCAAAGATGGTTCGAGAAACCGGTTTCTACGATCTGCTCGGCGTCAGTCCCAAAGCCTCGCTAGACGAGATCAAGAAGGCATATCGGAAACTGGCGCTGAAATATCACCCGGACAAAAACCCGAATGAAGGAGAGAAAGTAAGTGAAGGTGCTGCGCCGCGAGCGGATACTGTCTCATGTTTCACCTGATAAATACATCGACAGAAATGAGAGGAACTTTCTGGAAGTGTCCTGAACACTCATGTGAGCTGCGAGATGCATTTCTAACAGTGGCGTGCGGTGGTGTTTTAAAACGAGGAGGCAGTTTTATATATACATATTTATTTATATATAAATATTTCATAAAAAAGAGAATATAATTCTATTTTGTATTTTATTAATATTATTTTTATTTTATTTTTAATACTAATTATATATTTCATAGTGTTTTTATGCATTTTTATATTTATTCCAAAATAATGACTAAAGGCAGTAACAATTTGAACAATATTCTGGAAACAGTTTACAATAAGGTTTCGTTAGTTAACATTAGTTAACTACTTTAGTTAACATGAACTAAGAATAAACAATAGCCTACTTCTACAGCATTTATTAATCTTAGTTAATATTAATTTCAACATTTACTAATGCATTATTAAAATCAAAAGTTGTGTTTGTTAACATTAGTTTATGCACTGTGAACTAACAATGAACAACTGTATTTGTATTAACTAATGTAAACAAAGATGAATAAATACTGTAATA